CAAAAAAGGGGATACAAAGGAAGGACCATTTTGTATCTGTATATGAAGAATAGTTAGGATAGACATACAGCTACTTTTGCTTAATTCAATGAGAAGAAAGATTTGTACTAATAGTGTTTGGACAGGATATCCTGTCTGCTTCTTGTACTATGGATAACCACTAAGAAGATAACAATGTGCAATGTATTAATTATTGAAACTGTCCTATTAATCAGCTTTGAAACTGTCTCATTGCTATTTGTTTCTCAATAAAATAAAAGAAAAAGAGAAGAAATCTGCACCCACAGATGGGGCGTGGCGGCGCACGCCTGTAATCCCAGCACTAGGGAGGCTGAAAACAGAAGGATCCCTATAGGTTAGAGCTGTATAGTGAGGCCCTGCATGAAAAGAGAAAGAAAAGAAAAGAAAAGAAAAAGAAGTCTGTGCCCAGCCGCCAGGGGGAGGGAAGAGGGCATGGTGACCATGAGCAGGTGACCCAGGGACAAACAGGGCAGGGTAGACATGGCCCGCAGAGGGTGCTGGAGCCTACGAGTGCAGCATAAGGCTCTGTCATTGTTTATTGTATGATCTAAGGCATTTCGCAGCTGATGCCACGTGCGCTTTTATTTTCCTGGTGAATAACTGACTCTCTATGGCAGCTGACCAGTCACACCTCAGTCAAATGAGACACATCACCAGGCAACCGGCGACCTTCCAGCCTGGCCATGCAAACTAGAGACCTGGTGTCCACCCACCAGCCCAGCTCTGCAGCAGGGAGCCACTCTCCATCTAGAGCAGCAGGTCTTTCCCCTTCCATGGTCACGGAGGTGCTGGGCAGGAGCTGAGCAGCCGTCAGAGATGCTGCTCCGACTCCCAGCAAGGCCTCTGGCTCCCCTGCCTGAGAAGCCCTTCTGTGGCGAAGCCTAATCTCGGAACAGCAGCTGAACAGTAAAACAAGGAACTGATCTTCTCTGGGGCTATGATTGTACTAGAATAACGACTGCAAGTAACGCATAGTTTTGTTATTACTTGTAAAGATAAATTTACAATTAAGTGCCTATACTGTTAATTAACAGTATAAGTGGTAATAAAAATTGGAATTTCTTGGCAAAATTTTAAAATTTTGTTTTGAAATCAAATATATGTTAAGATACAGATTCAAATTTACTTTTATTATACCCACAAAAAGAAAAAATGTGATTTTATAACCCATTGTTTAGAATTCTTGACTTTTTCTTTAAAAACATCAGTTTACTTTCAGAATTTTCAGGTTGATTCTGAAATGAAGAGGTAAGAGGAAGTTCAGCTTTCTGTTTGTGCACACCTCCACAAGAAACACTGTGGGTCTGAATCATTTTTATTCTAAATTAATAAAAAAGGCAAACAATTCTGAACTATCACAATATGTTCACTTTCTGGAGAACTGGCACACTGTGGTGCACAGGGAGGGTCCTGAGCCCACGAACACGAGGACACCTCCAGGGCAGCTCTGCAGGGGCAGGGGCCCGAGCTCCCAAGTGCCCGGCAGCCTTCTCTCCTCTGCCAGTCTCTCTCATCGGCCTCACTCTTTCATTTGCAATTTACTACTGGGCAGCCTTGGAAGGGTCACAGGGCGGGACAGCCCTGGCAGTGCCACGCGCTGTTCCAGGACTCACTTTCTGGATCGCACCAGACCCTGACCTCCAGCCCCGGCAACCGCACAGCCATGAGGCCAGTGCTGTGTAAAACAGACAGATCCCCAAAGGGCGGAGGGGCAGGATCACCACTATGCTATGTGTCTAGTTTCCCTTCTGAACTTGTACACGCATGCCTGTTGCTTACAACCCCGCATTTAGCCAGAGGCCTTTCAGAGGTGTGCACCCCAGAGAATGCTGACAAAGGCAGGAGTGTCACGAGCCTGGGGGCCTGCATAGCCCCTGGTGACACACACCCTGTTCCTCAGAGGCAAGGGCTCAGGGATGTGCATTTTGCAGCAACGAGCAGTGAGGCTGGGAGGAACAGGAGAGGCGCTGGGGCTGGCTTTCATCCGCCAGTGAAGAGAGGCCCTACACAGCAGCGATGGCCCCACTGGGCAAGAGCGGGCCTTGCTTGCCCTGAGCTGTGGGGACAACAGGCCATTAGCAGGCAGAGCAAACAGCTCCACTTAACTCAGGCTGCACTTACAAGGACGCCGCTGAGCAGCACAGCACTTCTGTGGGAAGAGGCCCTTACCTCGTTTGCCGTGTTGTGTGTGCCAACGATTCGGATAAAGGAGGCGGGCTGTCTTTCAAAAGTCACTGACTGCCAGGACCTGTGAGAGGAAACGCAAGTTAGATGGAGTTGCGTCCACCAAGGAACACCCGTGTCACAGGACCCCGGGGCCAGGCGACCACACCACGCGTGCCTGCAGGGGCAGGGGAAACAGTGGCCCAGCCAGCAGCCTACACCTCCTCAAGGAAGGCACCATGACCCATCAGTGAGCATCACTCAGGGCTCCCCCAAGGCTGTTTAAGAACCTTACACACCTATAATATTTAAATGATGGAACTTAACAAAAAAAGGGGATGCAGATGAATGTCCATTTTGTATCTGTGTATTCAAAATGGTTACGATAGATGTATAGTTACATTCTCTTAATGAATAGAGGGATTTGTTCTAATGGTGTTTGTAAGTAGGATCTCATGTCTGCATCTTATACAGCAATTAACTACTAGGAAAAATGTATGCAATATGTTAATTATTGAAACTGTCCTACCAATTTGGTTTGAAACTGTTTCATTGCCATTTGTTTCTCAATAAAATTATGGAAAAAAAAAACTTAAAAAAAAGAACCCAGCACTAAGTGTGGACTGTATCTGCACTGTGACAAGTCTGGGGCCAAGGTTGGGAGCCATGTGTGAAAAGCCTCATCCATAAAACAGGCCCGGGGAGAGGCGGCCCAGCGCGGTGACCTGCCCCGCCCAATGGGAGCTCTGCAGCGGGGAGGGTGTGACACTAGCCAGGGTGGGGCCAGACAAAGCACTTGGAGCAGGCAGCTTCTCTCAGCCCCACAGAGCGCTCCCTGGCTGGCCCGTGCCTGGGTGCTCTTATATGTGGGCCCCTCTCCTGAGGGCCTTTCCTCTTGGGAAGGGGGGCACCTAGTGAGGCCAGAGGGGGTGGCTGTCCTAAGCCGAACGCTCACAGCTCAGCAGGCTGCACTGAGGAGTACACGGCCCCCACAACTGCAAACTGCAGTAATATTTTCTGTAATAAATGTGAGGGGTTCACAGTTGCTGCCATCCCCCCTCTGCGCACACAGTGGAAATGCCAGCTGCTGCGAAGCTGTTTCCTGTAATTGTCTAATTACCAAGTAATGCTAGCAAAGAAAATATATGTATTTGCAGTTTGTTTCCCCCTCTGGTTTCAGGTGTTCCATCTTCTCTCCCTTCGAACCTCCCACTGAGATTGATTCACTGCTGCCTGGACACCAGGCCTCTTAAGGTCATTAAAAAGTCGTTACCAGCTTTGTGCAAAGGCTGTACCTCAGAAAGCAGCTTTCTGAAAGCAGATCAGAAAAATTGCTCTTTGTAAAAATGCCATTATTCATACATGAAGGTGATGCCCTCAGACCGTCCTGAGCTCGCACTCGTGCCGTTTCTCAGGAGGGCTCCTCACCTGCAGCCCTAGCTCTCCAGGCAGCCTGGAGATGGGATGCAGCTGTGGCCGGGAGGTCGGCCTGCTGCCTGCCACTTCCAGGCCGAGTGAAGGCACCGAGGGGGGCATCAGGGCCCATCCCTGTCCCACAGGAAGCCGCAGTACACACTGCAGCTGGCCCACTGCATGCTTTTCAGCTCAGCCTTTCAGCAAAGGAAAAGACAACAAGTCCACAAAAGCCGGTGACAACTCCAGGTCTCTAGTGAAAGCCACACAGAAAGGCTTGGGGCGGAGGGAAGGTGGAGTGGAGGAGACAGAGGGAAGATCTTACTCCCACCTCTGCAGCCCTGGGCCTATCAGTCCTTGGTGATTCTGGGCTGAAGGTCTGACTGCCCAGCCCCACCGGGAGGCCCTGGAGCCAGCGGGTGGAGGAGGGCCTGACCGGCTCCACTGCCCCTTCCTCCCCCGCTGTCGCCCCTCCTCCCAAGGGCTGCAGGCAGGGCGCAGCCTGAGCAGGAGGGCGCATCTGTGGAGTAATAAGATCAGAAGGTCTCAATTTAATACCAATCCTCCATTACAGCGCATTAATATCTAATCACATTAGGGTTCATTTGCACTAACACGGCCTGAGAGTTGAATATATGATCTCATTTTCAGCAGAACTAGATACTCATCCTAAAACCAAAATATCAGTAGGAATGGAAGCGACTGGTCAGGATGAGGCAGTGAGCATCTCTCGCCCCAACTCCCAGATTCCATTTCCCCTGAACTTCTTTGAAACAGCCTTCCGGACTCCCGTTCCGTCTCTCCTCCTCCCATCTTCGCTCCATCCCATTCTGGGAGATGAGGTCTCCCTATGTTGACCAACCGGGTCTCAAATGGCTAGGTCCAAGAGTCCTCCCACCTCAGCCTCATGAGTAGCACTGTGCCTGGCCAAAATAACTGGTCATGCTGCTCAGCATGGTGACAGCCCTAGACTGAGGCACATCTCTAGTCACTACGTGATCTCGAAGCTCAGGGTTTCCCCCTCAGATTCCACAAGGCCAGAAAACTGCACCATCATTTGGTCCAAGGGAGAGCTCACGGGCCATGATGCACTTTAAGGACAGTTGCATACCCGGCTACCTGCCAAGCACCCGCCCCTCCTGCTGAGTAGCACAACACCCATGAAAGACAATGGTGTCGCAGGGGGTGGCAGCCCACCAGCTCACAGCCAGCCTGGGCACTGGGAAACTGGTCTTTAAGAGCCGTATGAGCCAAGTAACTCCACAGCAGACTGACATCCCAGACCCACGGTCTGGCTCCACAGTGGGACAGACTGGATTTCCTGCACTACAGTTTCTTCCTTTGCTGATGTCTCCGGGAGGAGGTCTCAGCCAGACCCTGCTGGAACATGGTCAAGGAAGAGGTCTATGGAGTGACTGCCACATGATGACCTAGATTCGGGCTCTCGATGGGGGAATTTCAAGAATCATTTGCTTTCCTTTGTACACTTCCAAATGTTTGAATTGGGTAGAATGGATATATGCACCATGAGATACCCAGCCCTCCTGCCTGCCACCTGAGGCATCAATAGAGATCAGGAGACAGGAAGGTAGTAACAGCACAGCCAAGTACTGTTTCTTGTGGAGAGGGGCACAGGGCCACTGTGGGACAGTGGGCTCTAAGCGTGCTGCATTAGGGACAGAGTGACAGCTTGGGTCCTGGAGCCAGCCCATCTGGGTTTGAGCCTCGGTTTTGAATCTTCAGCAATTCTGTGATCTAGTCAAATTACTTGCTCTCTCTAGACCTTAGTCTCATCTATATAATGGGCATGATAAAAAACTACCACCTAACATGTTTTTATAAAGTTTGAGCATCTTGGCAAATGTGAAACGGTGTTAGGATATACTAAGTGCTAGAAAAAGGAACAGTGAACTTGGATAAAACTCTGTGGGCCAGCAGGCCTGCTGGTGTGTGTTCACTGGCTGCCAGGCCCTCGGCACCCATCTCTTTAAGGCTGACAGGAAGTCAGGCTCTGGGGGCATTAAGCAAAGGTATGGATACGTTCTTGAGTTTGACCCTGCTGGTTATTATGGGGGATCCACATAAGACATGGTGCTTAAAAAGAGAAGTTTATCATCTCACCAGGGAGACTAACCATCCTTCTAACTCACTAGCGAACAGTACAAACTGTTATGGTACAGCGGCCTCAACTCGAGCTGCTGGTGCCCCACAAGGTCCCTCATCACTGGCTGTGTGACAATGGGCAGAAGCAATTTTTCCAAAGAACGAAAGCTATAAATTTTGACGGGATTCCCTCACCACCCACAAAATTCAATTCAATTCATAATAAGGTTGAAATATATCTATGAAGTTTAAGAAGGGGGGAAAAATGACATCGTTGCCATTCTAGTAATTGAACAAGCCAGAAAAACATTTAAAACAAGCTTTTGAAGCTGCTGCTTGTGGAATGAGGATTAAACACTCATGCAAAGAAAATCACAGGGATGCTGCTGAACAGAGCAGGTGGTCTGCAAACAGGAGGGTGAAAAAGTGGCCACAGTGGCCACATTTGTCCACTGAGGGCCTCTCCCATCTCAGGCCACTGTGTGGTACACAAAGTGCTTCCCAAGCTGTCTCAGTAGGCTCCCAATGTGAGCTGCTGGGTAGATACACAGCCCACCTGAGTCCTGCTTCGGGGACGAGGACATGGAGGCAGGAGCAGCTAGCAATACCCTAGAGCTGCCCGGGCTAGAGTCACAACAGATGCCAGAGCCCACACCGCTAGTTTGTGCTCTTTCCAACAAAGCCACAGAGGGACAATGACTACCCACTGTCTCCTGAGTTTTATTTTCCTGGGCCCCAGAGTCTTGCTGATACCGCCCTTCTATGTCTGAATCCTGGCTGGGGACCACTGTGGCCAGTGCAGCCAGTGACCACCCTATGAAGGCTCACTTCCTGTGCGGACTGGGGGATCCCAGTATAGCACTGCCGCTGCGGAAAACAGGAGTGCGGCCCGTGGCGACGGCACAGGAACCGCCAGCTATTCCTCCTCGTTTGTTCATTCCTTCGCTCCGTCACGCAGCGCCGTGGGCTGCACTCAGGGCCTCACACAAGCTAGACGAGGGCTCTGCCTCGAGCTGCACCCTAGAGCCACAGGTGTCTCGTGTTCCCAGCTACAGTCCCCCAGAGAGGCAAGCGGGCAGGGACCCCTCACCCCCAGAGCGCGTCTGGGGTTGGAGCCACACCAAACCTGCACCGAGCAGCTGGCACACAATGTGGGACAGCACGCTTGAGACTGTGCACGCTATCTCTGAAATGTTCGTTCTTGTTAAATATTTTTAAATATTCTGGAAGTGTATGTGCTAAATTCTTGACAGTGGCTGTCTCAGAGGAGAGGGCGAGGAAAGGGATTGCTGACGGGAACAAAGGAGACTTCAACATTAACTGGAATGTTTCATTTCTTTGATTAGAATAAAAAGACTTGAAGTGTATGTGAAAAATATTAACTATGGTCAATTCTTGGGGACGAGCACGTGAGTGAAAGTTATATTACCTTTTATTCTTTATATATTTTAAACAGCTCCTGAGATACATAGGACAGTGAAAAGAGAAGAGAGGAATCAAAGCAGTGTCTGTTTATGTAAGAAAGAACTTGCCGGAGGTGGAATTAACTAAACTGCAAATATAAAATTC